AATTAACTTTTTCATGATTACTTCAAAATTATTAAACATATCAGGAGCGTCATTTCAACTTTTACTGAGGGGGGGGGGGGTCGGTGATCGAATTGAGCACAATTGAGATAGGGGGGGGGGGGGCACGGGGAATAACACTTAATAAACTGTAAATAAAATTATATTGGATTAATGATAACTCTATAGTGACTCAATGCCATGGTGTATTTTAAGTTTCTCCATAACATTTTGTTCTGGTATTCACGGATGATATATATAAACTTATTTTCATGTTGCTGTTGTAGTTCTACTACCACTAGTTGCAGTACAGTATTCTGGAAAAAAGGGTGAGTGCCGTGGTTCTGGTGATGCTGATGTGATCACAATGTTCAGAAGCAAGCATCTGCTCTTGAACCTTTTGGTTAAGAGGTAAATCTAGTATTACTTTATATAAATATACAGTATTAAGATATTACAAAGTATTAAGTGATAACTAGGGGGGGGGGCAGTTGATGTACCAGTCTATTCTGCTGTGTATGTGTCTGTAATCAAAGTCAAATAAAAGTTGTTTGGTGTGGCCCTGTGTGTGTGGGGGGGGGGGGGGGCAAGACAGATCTTGAGGGGGGCAAACAGAGCCTTGGCGTATTTGGTGATTTGAAGAATGATCCCGAAGTCACAATAAAAAGAGCAATAAAGTAACACCACTGGCTGACCAAAAAGGCAACACAAAAAGAGCATCCATGTTATATATTCATTTCGCACGAATCTTTCGACCACAACCACTATCCAAGACAACCCATCATACACTTAATTGGTACAACAGAGGCAACTCGCCACAGCACGAGAAGCACCGAGTCAGCCAGCTAAGAATCCAAAGGCCTCTTTCTCTCTCGACGAGCCTGGCTTCACCTTATATGCTGATGGCATCCCGCGCTTGGGGATGTTTTACCCGTAATGCTGTTTATTTCATTTTTATTAAATAGTGTATGTGGAATTTGAAATAATCTTGGAAATACACACACAAAGAAATAATAAAATAAAACTATGCAAAAACGGGCACATAAGAGAAATAAATTACAGGGATTTACGAAAAAGTGAAAGAAGGGATCCGTGCGGGAAACGGGGAAACGCGAACAGAAAAACAAATGGGAAAAAAAGCTAAGGTGAGTTAGTCGAAGACAAAAAGGCAAGAATAAGGCAAGGTAAGTATGGAACGTAAGCTAATGGGAAAGGTAAGCCAAAGGATATAAAAACAGGTTTATTCTTATTAAAAAAAAACACAGACAAACACAGGAAAACAGCAAAGCCACTTGATCCTGCAGGGCGGAGGAGTCCGTAGATTTTCTATACAGATTCGTAACGTGAGGGGACCAGGCGGGCCGAAAGCCTACGGGATGACCCACCTGAAACAGGTGCTCTACTACATTCATAACAATAATGTTGACGTTATCTGTCTACAAGAGCCCTTCACATCAGCCACAAAAATAAAAACCGCCCGTAGAATTAGAGGGTACCACTCCTATACGAACACAGGAATGACAGGCCTCTTGACTTATGTCAGTGACACCATACCGCGTCAGTTGGTGCAGAAGTCTGATGACAATAATGTGCAATATCAGCATTTACATATTCGAACAGCCTCTGGGTTTTTCCCTCTGTACAGTGTATACGCAAGGTGTAGAAAGTTTCAAACTGATTCACTGCCCAGCTTTCAGAATCACGGCACAATATGCATGGGGGATTTCAATGCTAGACATTATACATTTGGAGACAGTCAATGCAATGAAAACGGCGGAGTTCCGAAATTTTGTGAACAATAGATCTATAACCGTGTATGATACAGACAGGGAAACTCACGTGTCGGGGTGCAGGCTAGACTATGTAATAGGAAGGGATCTTGTGCATGGAAACGTCAGCACCATGCTTGCAACAGTTAATCAGTTAATCAGTGACCACTTTGCAATAGTAACGAGATACGCTGTTGATAATAGTCTATTTGCAAAAACAAATAGGCTCAAAATTTCTATTCCTCCTTACCTTGAGCACCACTTTAAAGCACGTATTTATGACTGGTATAACGATTACACAGTAACGAGTGTTGATAAATTCTCCATGGACATGAAAGTGGTCACTGATTACTACAACACCTGGGTCTGTCCAAAGAAAACCTCGAAAAGCAACAATTCACAACGCCTAAAACAACCTAAGTGGGTCAGTGACCCTACACTATTAAGGGAACAAAAGCGAGTTCAGGAGCTTCTTGATATTTACAAATAGGACAATACCCGTGACAATCTCATTCAGTTTCTTAATGCTAAATCTACGGGAATTAAACCCTCATTTCAGAAATGAACACTTTGAACAGTTCCTATAAAGCATTAATAACAACACCTCAATGCCTGAGGTCTGGAAAAAAAATCAATCGACTCTCAGGCAAACCAACTAACACCCCGCAGCTCCACAGTCCTCTTGCACAAGCAGACATGCTCCTTAGTCAATGGGCTGGAGCGTCCAAATTGAGCTCACTTCCCACAAATATTCAGAACCATCTTAGTCATTCTAAAATTGGACGTAAATTTGCCATTGAGATTGGATGTTCTGAGACCGACCCTTCAGACTTTGCTGAGATTACTGAGTGGGAACTGAACAATGCACTGATCAAAGGAGAAGCGTCTGTACCAGGTGAGGATGGAATTACCTATAGTGTCCTCCGCCTTATAGCTCAGGTACCTGGTAATCCCCTTTTGCACCTGTGCAGGTTGAGTTTGTCACAAGGTATTCTGCCTGGACGCGCAGTCTAATCATCCCTATACCGAAACCAAACACTGATAAATACTGCCCAATTTCACTAAACTCATGTGTATGCAAAGTTCTAGAAAGGATCATTTTGAACAGACTCAGGTACAGGTTGCAAGGTAAATTATCTCACAGACTGTACGGATTTCTATCAGGACGTAGCACACAACATTGCTTTGCAGAGTACTATTCAAACTCTAATCCAGGGAAGCACACTGTTTTTCTTGACCTTAAGTCAGCTTTTGACATTGCAAACAGAGAAATTATCCTAGAACAATTAATAAGCTTTGGCATCCGGGGTAAATCATTGAGTTGGATTAGAATGTATCTTTCGAACAGATCTGCAAGTGTTTTGTTCAGGGGAGTGAGAAGTTCCACTTCACAATCTTTTGAACTTGGGACGCCACAGGGAGGAGTTCTCAGTCCAAAGCACCATCACAAGAGAGGATACAAATAATTCTCGACAAACTCACAACTACGGCTCATGACTGTGGATTAGTCATCTCCGCTGAGAAAACAATGGCTCTCAATCCATGTATCATACCGCTACCCACTTATCGCATAGGTGACCAAGAGCTTGACATGTGTCATAAATATCGGGGGTGAAAATAAATGATGCAGTCATGATCCTTTCTCTGAAAAAGAGACTCTGGGAGAGACTGAAACCGTTGAAAGTCCTTGTTGGAAGAGAACATGGCATCAATGTTATGCTCGCTAGACTGTTTTACTTGGCTTTTATAAGATCAGTTGTAGACTACCATGCACTGCACTTGTTGCAGTGCAAGGAACCGGAAATAAATAGCTTGGAGGTAGTGCGAAATGAAGCCATGAGGATTATCCTCGGCGCCCCGAGAACAGCAAGGATAGTGAACATGAGGTCAGAACTTAACCTACCATCCATCTCTGATAGAATAATATTTATTTCCATTATATTTGGGGTCAAAGCTCTGAGGGAATCCTTGTATCTTTCAGACTTCCAAAAACAATTGCAGCATAAAATCACGCAAGCAGACGTGACTAATCACACATACGTGCGCCCTCTAATACACAAAATCTCCATGAACATTACAAAGCTCAATGTCCCAATTAGTAAAATACCACAGGGTCGATCCATTCCACAATGGAAAAAATCAAAATTGATCGTGCACCTTGCGTGTCTACCACAAAAAAACAGTGTACATAACTGCGTGTTAAAACAAATTGCATTAGCAACGGTAAAGGAACACACAGAGTCTATAGGCGATGATATATACGAGTGTTACGTTGACGGATCCGTACAGTCTGGATACAAAGCTGGTTGTGCTTGTACTGTATACAAAAATGGCTTACTACAACATCAAGTTAATATGAGAGTGCACAATTGGGCTAGCACTACACAAACGGAACTGGCAGGTATACTCCTTGCAACGGGATTCTTAATGTCTCTTAATGTCTGGAGTAGTTTTCTGTGACTCTCAGGGTGCTCTTCGGACACTAAATTCTTTCAAAGCAGGTGGCGATGAGGAAATTGTGAGTTGCATTAAGCGTACGTAACTTGTGCAATAGAACGCAATTTCAACATTCAATTTGTATGGCTACCATCTCATGTTGGCATAAGCAAGCACGACCACGTAGACTTATTGGCGAAGGGAGCCTACAGCAAAGATACTGTAAACATAGATCTTGGGATGCCTCTTGCTAGGGTTGCATATATATATTGAAAAGTTCTCATGAGGAAGAACTAGTAGATCTGACGAACACTCAAAGGCCTGAAAGATGTACCATAAGGCACTACGATCAGTACAGAGATAGCAAGCCCTCCTATAGGTGGCACCGAAGTCGAACCAGACAATGTGACGTGGTTATTGCCAGAATACGTTTAGGTTACAGAATGTATTGGCAACTGCACGGTGCAAGAAGTGTAGATGAATCTAAATGTAGACTGTGTAACGAAGAAAACAAGCAAACGCTTGAGCATTATATCTCGGAATATCATGTGATACAACCTTTCAGACCACCTAACATGAGGTATAAAGAACCATGTGAATATTTCATTTCATCTGATACATTGGAAGATATACTCGTATTATATCCTGAATTTACTATGTAAAACTGCCGTAAACAAAAACACAGTGTTATGTAAACACAGTGGCAAAAGCATATCAAATTATTATTTTTGTATGATGTATGACATATTTCTATACTACCATGTACAATCACAGTAGTCACAGACTACTGTACTGTGTCAGATATATGTAAAGCTGTAATCATGACTGTCCACGCCTGAGCAGATAGCCAGGGTGGTAAATAAACTTACTTAACTTAACTTAATTCACTACAATACGTACAAGAGAATAATGAAAAGAGTTAGTTAGAAAGCATGTTTTACAATTGATCCATCTGATTATAAGGATATTTGTAATGAATCGATTGTATACAAATATGGCTAACGATAGATATGTGGAACGACCTGTAGAGTGTCGCTGTGTGTAAAATGTTTTGAGATTTAATTAGAAAAAAATTGGAATATCACCGATAGAACTATATCAATATATACTGAAGGCCTACTTTCTAAATTTCATTTAAAAATAATTGGAATAGTTTAAACGAGGATGTTTTAAAACTTTATTGTTATAAACATATAAAAAAAATACATTAGTTTATTATCACAGGCCTGAACGAACATTTTCGAGAGATATGATTCGATCCATTATTGTTACCCCATACACAATCATGATAAACGTGATTTGCCAAAATATGATATATATTTATATGTATATATATTTATTTATATATGTATATATATATATATATATATATATATATATATATATATATATATATATATATATATATATATACACACACACACACACACACACACACACACACACACACACACACACACACACATATATATATATATATATATATATATATATATATATATATATATACATATATATATATATATATATATATATATATATATATATATATATATATATATATATATATATATATATATATATGTATACACTGTATACACACACACACACATATATATATATATTTGTAATACCATAAACATGTTATTCTGTAATCATTTATCCCTGCTATAATCAAAGTAATGCCGAGTACACACAGAACATCGCAACGTAACTCCGCCGCATCTGAGCGTAATACTCAAACGAACCTCTGCGTGACGTGTCAGGGTTCCTTCCCGTCCCACTCAAGATCTATACAAGTATGTATCAATTAAAACCATTATTACGTACAAATACCTTGTTACAGGATGGGGTTACGCGTAACAGCTGGCTTGACCGAGTCTGCGTAATTCGCTGAAAGCTTAGTGATCAATATCCGACTCGTATTAACTGTGTACCTGACTGAATTGACTGACTGAAGTGACCGACTGAATTGACTGACTGAAGTGACTGACTGAAGTGACCGACTGAATTGACTGACTGAAGTGACTGACTGAAGTGACTGACTGAAGTGACCAACTGAATTGACTGACTGAAGTGACCGACTGAATTGACTGACTGAACTGACTGAATTGACCGACTGAATTGACCGACTGAAGTGACCGACTGAACTGACTGACTGAAGTGACTGACTGAAGCGACCGACTGAATTGACTGAAGTGACCGACTGAATTGCCTGACTGAAGTGACCGACTGAATTGACTGACTGGAGTGACTGACTGAAGTGACCGACTGAATTGACTGACTGAAGTTACCGACTGAATTGACTGACTGAAGTGACTGACTGAAGTGACTGACTGAAGTGACCGACTGAATTGACTGACTGAAGTGACCGACTGAATTGACTGGCTGAAGTAACTGACTGAAATGACCGACTGAATTGACTGACTGAATTGACTGACTGAAGTGACCGACTGAATTGACTGACTGAAGTGACTGACTGAAGTGACCGACTGAATTGACTGACTGAAGTGACTGACTGAATTGACTGACTGAATTGACTGACTGAAGTGACTGACTGAAGTGACCGACTGAATCGACTGACTGAAGTGACTTACTGAAATGACTGACTGAAGTGACTGACTGAAGTGACCGACTGAATCGACTGACTGAAGTGACTTACTGAAATGACTGACTGAAGTGACCGACTGAAGGGCTTGATTGAAGTGACAATACTCTCCATCTTTTTAATTTGTTACGAGAAAACGAGATTCGGTCACCAACTCATTATTCCGTCGCCTTGTTACACGTATCTCTGTCACGTGACACGATTCCTGTTACGATACTTCGCGCTGTTACGGTATGTGTGTGTAACTCGGCATGATGCAATACAAACTTACAATCCCCAATTAATACAGTGGCTCATTAATCAACCAGGTGATGAAAACACCATTACATAGCCATCGATTCCTACCCTTAGTTACATTTCTTTCCTTTAATTTACTTAGAGCTTTGATACCATTTTTCTTCCGAGGGTGCCAGAAATGTTTCCAGAAGGCTTGTCGACCGGGAGGAAAACCGTTTCATTTTTCAGGCTCCCTACATCCGGGAACTTGCTCAGGTCGACGCCAAAGTAGTGTTTGTTGGGCATCGTCACTTTAATCTGGGTTATCTGTAATGGCGAGAGAAAGAGAGAAAGGTGCATCAGGCTGTTTTATAGAATGAGGGTATGCGCGTGTTTTGAGACTAACTATCCGGAAATGCGTTTTGTTAAATGTTGTGCTTTTTTTAACTCTCGTTTAATTTCGTCTAATCTCTTGACTGTAGTGAATGAACGCGATCGTAACGATGCTAATTAACAAATATGATAATAAATTTCGGGCAAGTGGTCTGAGGAGACATTTGGATGCCTATGCCGTCATTTATTAGTTATGCAAGTGATTATGTGTCGTGTGAATGCAAATATTGCTCAGAGAGAGATTTCTTGCAGTTCATCTCTACACCCTTTCACACAAAGAAGCTTTTATTCGCTTATTTCTCTTCTCTTCTTCCTACTTATCTCCCTTTCAAATGATCTTTTCAGCCAAGATTTGTCTTTTTCTTTCATCCATCTGCGTTTCTGTCATATGTACATTTCACCCACGTTTTCCCCTCGTCTTTCGTAAGTACTTTTCATCTACGGTTTCTTCATATCTTCTTCCCCCTCTTTTATTCCCCTCGGTTATCTTTTCATTCACGTTTTTCCCTCTCTATCCTTCTTCCCCGATTTATAAGGATGCTTTGCTCTCTTCTTTCCCTCTCTGTTTCCTCTTCTTGTCCTTCATCGGTAACTTAAATAGACAAAAAATCGTACATAACATGAAGGCACACAACGGGTAAGAATATACGAGAATTATAAGTAATCATACAAAGCAACTTTATAAGTAAGAATAAAAGGGAAGATAAACTTCTATATGAATAAGGAGAAGGAAAACTATAAGCAAATACAGAAAGCTACTATGCATATAAGTAAGTATAAAAGTGGAAGAATGATATAAGTAAATGAAGCCCCTGTGTGAGTAAGCACAGGAAGGAAGGAAAAGTGAATGTATGAAACCGAAATGAGAGTAAAATATAAAAATCTAAACGTTAGTAAACATATCAAGTATATGTAACCGCAATATGAACAAATGAATCAAACCCAAACACATGAATGAATATAAGAAACCGCCATTTGACTAAATATATGAAACCCCCCAAAAATATGAGTAAGGATAGGAAACCTTGTAAGTAAATACACTAAAACCCAAAATATAAGTATTGGGAATCGTCATATGATTAAATATATCAGGCCCAAAAATATGAGCAAATACATGAAACCAAGATATGAATAAATATATGTCCAAAAATAAGAATAAGTGTAAGAAACCGCCTTATTAATGAATATATGAAGCACCAACAATATGAGTAAGTATAAGAAATCGTCATTTGACTAATTATACCAAATCTCAAATATATGAGTAAGGATATGGAAACGCTACATGAATAAAAACATAGAAGCAAGAATATGAATAAATAAATGAACCCACCACACGATTAACTATAAAAAAGGAAAACAATTCGGTATCGTCAACTCACTTCAGGAATTTCCTTAAGCGCCGTATCCTGGATGAGGAACACGGTGTTCTGGACCGACGGGGAGTAGATGCCGTAGTCAGGCGGACCGGCAAATTTATCGTAGATTATCTTCTGCATCTTTATCCTTTGGGATAAGAAAAGGGGGGATGGGTTAAGGGGGGAAGTGGAAAGGTAATAGGTGATTAGATTCAATCATCTTATGCACTGTTAGCCTGGAGGCTAATAATGAATAAGTGAGAGAGAGAGATTCTGGGAAGGGGTCAGGAAAAGAGGGAAATGGAGAATTGAGGAGGGAGGGGGGAAGAGAGTGAGAGAGGGAGAGAGAGAAAGAGAGAGGGAGAGAGAGAGAGAGAGGAAGAGGGACAGAGAGAAAGAGAGAGGGAGAGAGAGAAAGAGAGAGGGAGGAAGAGAGAGGGAGAAAGAGAAAGAAAGAGAGAGAGAGAGAGAGAGAGAGAGAGAGAGAGAGAGAGAGAGAGAGAGAGAGAGAGAGAGAGAGAGAGAGAGAGAGAGAGAGAGAGAGGAAAAAATCGTGATATCTTACATAATATAACTCTCTCACCAGACTCTGCCGAAGTCGATGTCCTTGACGTCGGCGTACTGCCACGACGCGGCCACCACCGTGGAGAAGAGGCGGTCATCCATGTCGGGCAGGGAACGGAACTCGTCGCTGACGAAGTTGGTGAAGGAGGACTGGGTCGTCTTGAGGACGCGCATGCCCTGCAGGCCGGTCCACACGCGCGGATGCCCTGGGGGTGGGGGGGAGGTCAGAGGGGCGCGAGAGAAGTTATCATGAATGGGATGCTGCGATCACTCCGCCTGAGCTTCCTCGACTTGCTCGGCGTCGTGGCTGAAGGCCTTCCTGCTTTTTAAGAGAGGAAATGCTAGCACGTAAATTGGCACGCGAAGACTGAACTAAAGCCAAGCCTTACTCTAAGCTTTGCCTTTCCTCTCACGCAACTGGGAACCGAGCGAGGTCAAAACAGGGAAGCCATCCTGACCCGGAGCGAGAAGGGCCTCACCTCCGCGGTCCTGCGAGACGGAGCACGTGTGGAGGACCTCCGGCGAGAAGAGGAAGGCATGGTTGTGCGCCTTGCCCTCCGTCACGAGGCGCCGCCAAGGGTACTCCTCCACGTCCACCTTGACGGACGTCACGTGGCTGTACTTGCTGAGGAAGTGGGAGGACAGCAGGAGGGCGAAGTCCT